GCTTACATAGATTTAATACTCTTTTCGTCCGTTCCCAAATGTTATATTTATTTTTTGTATATTGATCTTTAAATATTACTTAATATATCAAAATATAATACAAAATCAGTGAAAAGAAAAAGCAAAAATATTTCAATTATTGTTTTATAATATTAATATAATGACATTTATATAAAAATTATACAAATATAAAAATATTTTTAATATTAACTACAATAGTGTAAGATATAAATGTAACTCTTGCATGCAGACAGAGGTAGTATTATTTTATATAAAATAAATACTATTTTTCTCCCAATTAAAAGTATTTTTTTATCATTTTTATCTGTCTCATTCAAAAGTATTAATTTCATATTTTAGTAAAAATAATTGTACACCAATATCAAAATACTCTTAACATTTACTTACTATGTATTTGTTTTAAGGATTACAATAAATTTTCAATATTCATCAAAAAAAAAAAAAAATCCCTAAAAATATCAAATCAAATACTCCTTTCATCCCAACTCAAAGTACCATTTTTATCATTTTTGTTCGTCTTACTCCAAAATATTTCTTTTCTATTATAATAAAAGTAATCATACACACATACCAAAATACCCTTAGGGGCTGTTTGGTTCAAAGACTTTTTTGATGGGATTGAGATTTTGCAGTAGGATTTATATGTGATAGGATTTATTATATTTAGATTTGGAATCCTGTATTTGGTTGGAGTGTTTGGTTCAAGGATTTTGATTTTTGATATTTTAAATGACATAATTATCATTCTACGGGTTTTATTTATTGTGATAAATTAAATTTTACATTTTCTTTCATAAACTTTATTTTTTACTAAATTTAGTGTATTCTAATAAAAAAAATTTAATATGATTTTCGATTGATAATAAAATATATAATATATATTCATACAAAATATATATTGTGATATATAATCTATACACTAAAAAATATGACAACTTAATTATTTTTTATAATATCGACATTCTTTCTCATATTTAATATAAAAAAAAACAATTTAAACTAAAAATACAAAATTAATACAACATTAAAATAAATTTAAATTATTAATTGATATTTTAAATTATTAATTTATTTAAATTATCATTAGTAAAAGAATTAAATATATATAATATTTTTATAAATAAATATATAATTTGTAGTAATATGCTTAAATATAATATTATATTTTATAGAACTAATAAAATATAATTTAAATGTAAATATATATATTTATATACATTTAATATTAAAAAGGAAAAGAAATATAATTTTTTTTATGGGAGGATATAATAGTAAAATGAAAAATGCAATCACATGGGATTTTGAAGTAACAGGGTACACTGTTACTGAAAAACTCTGCATTTGCAGGATTAACATCCCATGCACTTAAAATTTCATTATCAATTTTATAACCAAACATGGATTCATTAGGATTTTAAAATCCAAATCTCATAGAATCCCACCAAATCCACGAACCAAACAGCCTCTTAACTTTTACCTAAAATACAAACATATCATTACACATACAATCACTTTTTACATAAATTCAAATGGCAAAAATATCAAAATTTCTTACACACTTCCACTGACTAATAAAATATTATTATTTCTTAATCTACTATAAAATCTTAAAGGGTCCCTTTGGACTGGGACCGGAGGGAGTACTTATTTTTTATTTTTAATATTATACTAAAAGTCAATTTTACATTCAAAATATCTCATTAACACATTTATATCATATCATACAACTATTTAAATTCAAAATTTTTACTATTCAAATGACAACTCAAAATCCAAACTCTCAAACAAACACACTCTTACAAACATACAATTATTTTATCATAAAATCAAATGACAAAAAAAATATCAAAATCTCTTATACATTTTCACTTACCAATAAAATATTATTAAAATATTCTCTTTGTTCCAACTTCATGTATTAATTTATACCTTTTAGTAAATTAAACAATAGTAATTTTTATTAGTAAGTAAAATATGTAAAATAATTTTAATATTTTTGTAAAAATTAAAAGTATTTTTATACTTATAAATGATTTTCTTTTATTTTACAATAGTAAATAGATATTTTGAATGGACAAATAAAAATAGTAAAAAAAATATATTAAATTAGAGTATATATTTCTATTAAAAATTATAAAAATAAAAAAATAGTGATTTGTTTTTTAGTTGAATACCAAACAAAGGGTAAAAAGTGAAAGCATAACTAGTTTATTTTTTCTTCCACCAAAAAGGCCAATAAATAGACACCATAAATAACATTATGCAAATTTGGATATATATATATATATATTTTTTTATGACGTGGGAACCCACTGGATAAATCCCCGGTCGAACATAATATCGTGCAAATCAAGTCTAACGAAAAAGTAACACTAGACGAACCATGTGTGGCAGGTGACCTGAAACGTCGGGGGTTTGAACCTACAAGTTCAACCCCTACACCACCGAGTCATTCTTTACGGGACCAAATTTGGATATATTTACTTTTGGATTGTATGGTATAAGTTAAATGATTGTTTCTATATATATATGTATACTTTTAAATAGAACATTGTAACGTAAATACAAGGTATAAATAAAGTCACACAATTTCTAAATTCTCAATAATGTAAAGGACAAGCAAGCGATAACTTGGGGAAAAAAAGAGCTTGATTATTCATACATATTATTAAAAACCTAAATTTAAATACTCTCTCCATTCGGCTTCAATTTAATCCTTTCATTAGCAATACAATATTTAAATAATAATTAATTAATTAATAATAATGAATTATTATATTATTATATTATTTTTTTATATAATCAATAATATTATTAATTTTAAAATAAATTTAATATATATAGTTAAAAAATTAAAATATATATTTAAATATTTTAAAATTTATAATCAAATAAAAAAAATATATAATATAAATATTATTTTATACAAAATAAATTTTCTATAATGTAAATAGATAAATAAACACGTTTATTTATTTATATTTAATATAAACTAATATTATAAAAGAGACTTTGGTTAGGTACTACGTGATGTATAATCATATATATCATATATCATATAGTATTATATATCATATTATATAGTAATATATATATATTTCATAATACATTTCAATTTCTCAATTCTCATAATTTTGAAATCTTATTTTATTTTTTAAATATTAAATTTGAATAATTTATTAAAATTTGTTAGAATAACAAAATAATCCAATAAAATTATGATTTATTGGGATAATAAATAACAAAAATATGGATAAAATCAGTGTTTTATTATCTATATATACTTTAACTTTTAATTATATATATTGTTCAATTTTAAAATTTTTGATTTTTTTTTAAAAATTTGTATTCTTTTTATTTATCATAATATATTCTCTTTAATTTTTTGATAAAAGAAAATACGAAAGAAAGAATGATTATAAGAAGAATATGAACATTAGAAGAATAATACAAAAATATTGCTTTGTTAACACCGGATTAAGCTAAATTTTTTTAGGGAGAGTTCATGATTCGGTTCTTATTTAATACAACGGTGAGATTTGCGACCAGAAATTTATAGTTCAATCAGAATTTTATAAAACATGACAAATTTCTTTGGCTTTTTTTTTTATCTTAATTTTTTTTAATAAAATTGTTATTTTCATTGGTTGATATAGTGGTGATTATGACGTATTCACATGCATTTTTTAAGGATTATTATATGCAATTTAATTATAGTAAATTTTATGTTATTTTTATATCGTATTTTTTTATATTTTATTTGTGAATATAATCTGTGGTCGTTCTTCGTGTTCTTACAAAGGAATTGCATTTTTTTAATTAATATATATAATAAAATTCTAACAATAAAAAAATTTGTTAAATTTTTAAAATTTAAAACTTGATTATGCATATCTATTGTATTATGTTGATTTTATTATTTTATTTTTATTATTATTTTTTTTCTATTAATTGATTCTAATATTTATATCATGATACAGAAAAAATAAGAAAAAAATTTGAAAAAAAAGAAAAAGCAAAGAAAAGATTACAATGTATGTATTTTTTAATTATTTATTATATTTTTAGTAATTATTTCTTTTATTCTTATTATATATACATTTTATTTTAAAAATAAATTAATTTGGTTGTTAAAATAATATTTTAATAGATTTTTCAATTTTATAAACTATGTTCAAATATCAAATTTTTTGATTTGAAAGAATATTTTGGAGAATTTATACAAAAGCTATGATAAGTTTTAACATATAAAATATTTATTTTTATTGTAGTAGTTTCATACTTATTGTATATATATTTTTAATTACCTATTTTGTTATTCTTATTTTTTATAAATTAATTTTTTACTTTTATTATGTACATTAATTTTGAAATTGATTTATTTCAATAATATATGATATATATATAAAATAAAAATATCAATTATTACATATAAAAATGACAAAAATTAGTACTATCAATGAAGATGAGAAATATAGAGAATTGACCACAATACCCTCCTCACCCATCGGCTCGGCTTGTCAGCCTGAAAAGCCGAAAGGTCAAAATTGAACAGCCGCCTCAGTAAATCAATCTCGACCGTCAATATTGTAGGCTCCAAGTTTTAAACGGCTACGATCATCTCTGGATATCGAATCCCGGGACCAAATAAATAACTTTATTTTATTTTTTCATAATTCCAAGTCTCCATGCAGATGCAGGCTGTGCTGTCTATATATACAACAAAAAATGTATCTATCGCCATCCCCATCTCGCCATTTTCAAATCGAGCAAGTGTTTTTTATTACCCTAACTGAGCCCAAGCACATATCATCTCTCCATATCCTGAAATACGCTTCAGACACAACTGCCGTAAGATATATACATACATATATATATATATAGAGAGAGAGAGAGAGAAATAGAGAGAGAGAGAGATTCCCTGGTGCCTCTCAGTGGACAAGTCGGCGTTTTATGGACCCCAAGGCCAAAAAAAAAAAAAACTCATACATCACGGGTTGCAACCAAACAAAACTCTAAATTAATTCAAATCCAAAGATTCCAAACTTTCTCAATTTCTATAAATCCAATTGCAAAATTTTCCCCATTCCGCTCATCCCGCCACTGCTTTAATTTTGTTTTTATTTCTTTGTATTATATATACATATATTGAAAAAATAATTAAAACACAATAATGGCGGTGGCGGGGGTGTGTGGGATTGTGTGCATTATTATTGCCTGCGCCGCCGTGGGTGCGGCGGCGCAGGGGCCGGGGCGGGCGGCGTTCGCGTGCGACGTGGCCGGAAATCCGGGGCTGAGGAATTTGACGTTCTGCGACGCGTCGTTGGCGGTGCAGAAGAGAGTGGAGGACCTGGTGGGGCGGATGACGCTGCCGGAGAAGATCGGGTGGGTGGTGAACGCGGCGGCGGGGGTGAGCCGGCTGGGAATACCGAGTTACGAGTGGTGGTCGGAGGCCTTGCACGGCGTCTCCTACACCGGCCCGGGGGTGCATTTCAACGGCATTGTCCCCGGCGCCACCAGCTTCCCACAGGTCATCCTCACCGGCGCCACCTTCAATGAGTCCCTCTTTCAGACCATCGGAAAGGTAGCTAATCTCTAATCATTAACCCTAAATTGATTTAAATTTGAGATTTTAATTTGAAATTTAATTTAAATACTACATCTATCCGACTCTAAGGTCTCACTCAAATTATTATAAAACTTAATACAAATTAAAAATAAAAAATAAAAAAATATTTCTGTCTTATAATATTAATATAATACATTTTGCACAAAAAAATTATAATAATATTTTTAATGTGAAGTACAGTGACGACGCAAAATATAAATATGAGCTTTTAAAGGCCGACGAAAGAAGCAATATTTGAATGTATAATAATTTTTGAGAAAAAATATTGTATTTTTATTAACACCGTCAAAATGTAAACTTCATTTTGAAAAAGGAAAAAAAAAAAAAAAAACTAATCCCATGATTTTGTTAATCATTTTTATAATGTCAATTTGATTGAAGTTTTCTTTTATTTTTTTATTATTTAATCTTACAATATATTTTCTTTTAAAGTTAAAATCTGATCTTCATTTAAATTACTATGTCCAACAAGTATTTCAATAAAGTATATATATATATATATAGAATGTAAAAAGTTAATATAAACAAATCCCTAATTTTGTCATTTATCCTTGGCTAGTATACGCTGTCATATTATTTTAATTAATTATTTTATTTTTTATTTTTTCCAAATGTTAGTTTATAATTAAAGATCAAAGAGTAAAACAAATCTTAGAATAAAAGGTTTCTACATTAGGGGTTGGGTGCAATTATGGGCAGATGTGAATATTGTGTGCAATTATGAATGTAGCTAGCTGTTGTGCATAATAATACAATATAGACATATATTATGATATGATAGGATAGGATATAAAATTAAAAAAAAATAAATTAAATTAAAATAAAAAAATAAATAAATATGTATATATGGTGTCGTGTAATGGACGTTGTCACATGATAAAATGAAGCAGAGTGGAGTTGTTAATAATAATAAATCATCCATAGAATTTTACCTTTTTCTTCAAAGTAGTCGTTGGCGCCATTATTGAAGCTCCACAAACTCAACATTCTTCAAATTTCCACAGCTTTATGGAAAAAGAAAGACCACAAAGACACACAGACAGAGATCGATCAAAACGATGTTAATGCCCGATTAAGACAGCTTAACCAATACAATCAATTTTCTATACCTCTAATTTAATTACTTAGTCGCTCTCAATGAGGCTGATCAATTTTATGTAATTAAGAATTAGTCGAAAAAGATTTACGACATAATCTCGACATGTTCGTCGCCGATTAGGTGGTCTCGACCGAGGCACGGGCGATGCACAACGTCGGATTAGCCGGGCTGACGTTTTGGTCCCCGAACGTGAACATATTTCGCGACCCGAGATGGGGTCGAGGACAGGAGACCCCCGGGGAAGACCCCGTGCTCACTAGCAAATACGGCGCCGGGTATGTGCGCGGCTTGCAGCAGCGCGACGATGGCAATAAAGACGGGCTCAAAGTCGCGGCGTGCTGCAAGCACTACACGGCCTACGATGTCGATAACTGGAAGGGGATACAAAGATACACCTTCAATGCTCTGGTACGCATATTGTTAAATGATTATCTTACATAAAAATTTAAATTGAAATTGATTATCTCACGTAAAACCTAAGGTAAAAGGATATATATTATTAAGGTAAAATTGTTCATAACTTCTCCGTGATTTCGAAATTTAGCATAAAATTTTTTTATATTTTAAAAATTGCATGATAACCTTTATACTTTAAAAAACGTTGTATGAAACCCCCACCATCATGAAACCTTCCCTGTGTGATGAGAAGATGATTTCCTATCTATATGTTTTGCTTGACAGGGTATTTTATGCAATATTTTTTAAAGTATAAGGGGAACGCCATGCAATTTTTTAAAGTAGAGTGAAAATTTACGCTGAGTTTAGAAACTATACATAGGTTTCATGCAAAAATTTTAAAATATAAGGAGGCGCCATGTAATTTTTTAAAATAAAAGGCGAATTTATGCTAAGTTTCGAAAACACAATAAAATTATGAACAATTTTGCCTATTATTAATTTATATATTATGGAGTCGACCAACATAACGCTGAGTTTCGAAAATACAAAAAAATTTTGAGCAATTTTACCTATTATTAATTTATATATTATGGAGTCGACCAACATAACGCTATTTTTAATCGATTAGTTTCCGTACTTAGGTGACACAACAAGATTTGGACGATACGTTCAACCCGCCATTTAAGAGCTGCGTTCTCGACGGAAACGTCGCAAGTGTCATGTGCTCGTACAATCAAGTGAATGGCAAGCCAACTTGCGGCGACTACGACTTCTTAGCCGGTGTGATTCGCGACCAATGGAAGTTGAACGGGTACGACGAGCAAACTTCGTTGCAAAACATAAACTCAATCGCGAAGCTTACGTTTACTAAACGATTCGAAAAACATTGAACGGTTCTGTTTTCTTCGATCCGTTTAGGTACATTGTGTCGGATTGCGATTCTCTCGACGTGATTTTCAACAGCCAAAAGTACACGAAAACTCCGGAGGAGACGGCTGCTTTGGCTGTGAACTCCGGCTTGGATCTCAATTGCGGTTCCTTCCTCAGCAAATATGCTCAGGGAGCCGTCGACAAAGGGCTGCTCAACGAGACCACGATTAACAAAGCCGTGTCGAACAACTTTGCGACGCTGATGAGATTGGGGTTCTTCGATGGTGATCCGAGCAAGCAACTATACGGAAATCTCGGCCCAAAAGATGTGTGCACGCCGGAGAACCAAGAACTTGCACGTGAAGTTGCTCGACAAGGAATCGTTTTGCTCAAGAACATCGACGGCTCTCTGCCGTTTAAATCCATCAAGTCCTTGGCCGTCATCGGTCCTAATGCGAATGCAACAAAAACCATGTTAGGAAATTACGAAGGTACGTTGCTCTCGCTCCTAGTACCATTATTGCAAAATGTTAGCTAGATTGAATTCAAATTCGAGCTCGAGTTTAACAGTTCTTGAGTATCGTTATCAAATTTGCAGGCGTGCCGTGCAAAATTACGACTCCTCTTCAAGGCCTAGCGGCGTCTGTGAGCACGACAAAATACCAGCCAGGCTGCGCAGACGTATCTTGTGGAACTGCTCAGATTGACGACGCCAAGAAGATAGCAGCCGGTGCGGATGCTGTTATATTAGTCATGGGATCGGATCAATCCATCGAGAGGGAAAGCCAAGACCGAGTAAACATTACACTCCCCGGAAAACAACAACTTTTGGTGTCCGAGGTTGCAAAGGCATCGAAGGGACCGGTGATTCTTGTAATAATGTCGGGAGGCGGAATGGACGTACAGTTCGCCAAAGACGATCCGAAAGTCACCAGCATCCTCTGGGTCGGCTTCCCGGGACAAGCCGGGGGAGCAGCCATCGCCGATGTTATCTTCGGACGTTACAACCCGAGTAAGCTTAATCTTTCTCGACTCAACTCAAATCGACATTAGAAAAAAAAAAAAAAAAAATCGACGGTATATTTCTTAGTTCTTATGTTACGAAAATTATTCTAGGCGGAAGGCTCCCGATGACTTGGTATCCGCAATCGTACGCGGACAAGGTGGATATGACGGATATGCATATGCGTGCGGATCCTAGCCGAGGCTACCCCGGCCGGACATACCGTTTCTACAAGGGACCGACAGTGTATGCTTTCGGAGACGGGATAAGCTACTCCGAATTTAGCCACACCCTAGTGAAAGCCCCTAAGATTATATCGGTTCCGTTGGAAGAGCAACACGTGTGTCGCTCCGCGGCATGCGAATCGTTGGATGCCACGGAGGATAATTGTAGGAATTTGGCGTTCGACGTTCATTTGAACGTGAGAAACGAAGGGATGATGAGCGGTAGCCACACGGTGTTCCTTTTCTCGACTCCCCCTCAAGTGCACAATGCGCCTCAGAAGCAACTCTTGGCATTCGACAAGGTACATTTGGCGCCGACGGGGGAAAAGACTGTGAGATTCGACGTCGACATCTGCAAACATTTGAGTGTGACAGATGAAAATGGAAATAAAAAAGTTGGATTGGGAGAACATATTCTTCATGTGGGAAGCTTGAAGCATTCTTTGAGTGTCAAGGTTTGAAAATAATTTGGAGGGAGATTTATTGGATATTTAAATATGATATATATGGCTATTTTTAGTTTTTATTTTTGGGAATTTTTATCAAAAGAAAATATGTCATTCTTACCTCTCTTTTTTCTTCTTTCTTGGGAATGAGAAAGAATGGGAAAGGGAGTAGTGAAAAATGTATGGGAAGATTGATTGATTATGGTGGAAATGATTTGATTGATAATAATTTGTACCAATTGTTGGTTGGTGTACATTTTACAACTTATGTAATCCAAGTTAACTATTCATCGTAGTAATAATAATAATAATAATAATCATTATATTAGCTAGTAGTGTTACATGTAGAGCTGCCAAAAACTGATCCGATATGACAATTTGATACGATCCGACACGAAATAATTGGGTTTGGATCAAAGATTTCAATTCGATTATGTATACAGATTGACACGAATCCGACACGATAATAAATGGGTCGGATTAGGGTTGAGGCTCTCAACTCGAACCCGACACGACAATCCGATGATAATATATTAATATTGATTAATATATTTATTATATATATATATAATAATCATTATTTAATAATTTCTCATAAATTAATTTAAATTAAGTTCAATTTTAAATAATTCAACCTAATTTACGCTCAAACTAATAAAAACTAACATAACACGACAACACAATAAAAAATTATTTAATTTGAATAAAAAAAATCGACTTAATTATGTATACAGGTCAACACAGTCCATTCGAACCCGACACGATAATAAATGGATCAACCCGAACCCGACACGATAATAAACGGATCGAGTTAGAATTGAGTAATTTAACCCATTTAAAGTATTCAATCCGATACGAACCCGACACGAATCGACGAGCTCAATAGTTACATGTTCATATTTTTTGAATTCTTTATTAATTGCATCGACTTAGAAAAAGATCTTGAAGTGATACGATATTGTTTAATGTGGTTTTTATATTTTGACAAAATATAAATAAAATGAAAGAATTTATTGGAAGTTTCTCCACTGAAGAAAACTCCCCGTCACCTTTAATATAGAAAAATAATAAAAAGAATTACAAATTTTAAAGTCAACAAGGAGAACCAGCTGCAAAGCAATTCGGTAGTAACATGGCACATTTTGCTTTTTGTTTTCTGTTTTAATTAAAACATGATAAAAATATTTAGTTTTTGTTATTTTTTATATATATTATTTTATTTAAATATTTACTAATATTTTATATATTATAAAATTTATTTTTTCATAAAAGAATATAATATTGAATATATTTTGATTTAATAAAATTAATTAACTATAATTAATTAGTCATACTAATTCTATTTTTAGTTATCTTATAAAGTAATTTTACGTGTAAAAGAAAAAAATTACTTATTTTAGTGTATAATTACTTATTTTAAAAGAAAAAAATGAATATTTTTAATGGAACAAAAAAAATTGATAAAAATAATATTTTGAATTGTGACGGTGAGTATAACATGAAAGAGAAGGGAGAAAATGGAAGGATTTTATCTTTTGGTTTAAATGTTATAATAAGTTTGAATTTGAATAATTATTTGATTTAATATAAATAATTATTTGATATAATATTTTGAATTTAAAATTATATTTTAATGTAATATAAAAAATAAAAAAATAACTATTTTAAATCAATATTTTTGGAAATAAATAAATAAATTGAATAATAAAAAGAATTTGTAAAAAATCCTCAAATACGGATGACCTAAGATTCTATTTCCACTATTAATCATTCATATCTTGGTTACTTTTACAAAGTAGCAAGTAGAAAATATTTTCTACAAAACATTTTAAATCTAAAATAAATATTTACTATTATATTTTCAAAGGAAAAAAAATATTATTATAATTTACCCAATACAAAAACGACTACAAAAACACAATCAAGCAAGCCCAAATTTACTCTACATAGGAAATTATATTTAATTGCATTTTATTTCATAAAAGATAACACATCTCCTCCATCTCTATATATAAATACATTCACTAATTTTTACATTAAATTCACAGCTCTCCATTGCAATGGCTTCTCTGTGCCTGGCAATTCTCTGCGCTGCCCTGGTCAGCTCGGGCACGGTTTCCGGTCAGCGGTTCGCCTGCGACCCCCCTGGAAATTACGGCTTCTGCAACACAAAGCTGGACGTGGCGGCGAGAGTCGCAGATTTGGTAGGCCAGCTGACATTGCCGGAAAAAATTGGGTGGTTGGCGGATAGCTCGAAAGGGGTGGGTCGGCTTGGTATACCCGGGTACTGGTGGTGGTCCGAGGCATTGCATGGAGTGTCGAATATTGGGCCGGGAACAAAGTTTTCGACTTTAGTCCCCGGCGCCACCAGCTTTCCGCAAGTTATTCTAACCGCAGCCACGTTTAATCAAACTTTATTCGAGGCCATTGGAAAGGTACTTACTTCTACTCGGGCAGTGGCGGATCCAAAATTTTTTTTTCTCTGATTGCACGGTATATAAACTTAAAAATAGAATAAATTATAAGACTCGATCTATTAAAAATTAATAATAATATAATACTCCATCCGTCTCAATACAATAGTCTTATTTACCATTTTTGTTCGTCCCAAAACAATAGTCTCATTTCCTTAAATAATCATATCTATAAAACTATCCTTACTTTTTTCATTATTATTACACAATTTGTCATTACTTTTTACAATAATACACTCACACAAATTTTTTTACCCGCTACCAATATAATATCAATATTCCTTAAATATCGTGTCAAACACAACGCACACTATAGTTGTGGGACGGAGGGAGTATTATTTTGTATATTTATGTTTAAAATATAAATTAATTATTTTAATTAGATTGAATTTTAATTATTTGAGTATTGATGATATTTTAAAATTTAAATTTTAAATGATCCGATTAAGTTTTTAGGGTAATGATGCAATTTTAAATTTTAAGCAGGGCTACAATTTTTTAGTGGGAGCATTTATTAAATCATAAAAAATTTCCTTTGGTATAATAAAGTCACTGGTGGCACGTACCACCGTCCCACCAAAGGTGGATCCTCCTCTGTACTCGGATGCAAAGTATTGATAATAGCATATAAGTATTGATAATAGCGTATATTGTTGGATTATGAAGTTTGATTAAAACCCGAAGGCTAAGGATGAAGGGTGTGTTTGTTTGGAGGTTTAGATTTTGAGTTAAGATTTGAATAGTAAAAATTTTGAATTTGAATAGTTGTATGATGTGATATAAATAGGTATTTATGTGATGTTTTGAATGTAAAATTTATTTTTAGTATTACATAAAAAATAAAAAATAATTATTTGATTTCATATTTTTTTAGAAGAAAAAATTGGATGAACAATGGATTTAAAATCTAATCCCCAAACAAACAAAGCCTTAATGTATTATTGGCAAGGGGGGTCAGTTATTTGCCTTACGAGGCCAGGTTAGGCCGGGCAAGAGGGCGCTTGTTCAGGGCTTATTGTAAATAGAGGCTTATTTTATTTATTTTTTCAATAATATATAACCGTATAATGATATGAAATTTTTATGAATAGAACTATTCTAAATTCATAGAAGTCTGCATGTTATAATTTATATAATAATTAAATAAATATTATTTATGAAACATAATTTTAAATATTAACTATTAAAATTATAAATTTTTCAAGACTAATTATGATGAGAAAAAGTAAACAAAAATAAGTTAATTCTCTTTTTAATTTGTAATTTTTTTTTCACACTATTTTAAAACATAATTAATTTACTTTTTCTTGTAAATTTATTTTGAGATTTTACATTTTGATTTCAAAATCTAATACTATTTCAAATTTATAAAATATAATACTTTTAAACTTTTTCTTTCTTCTATTGTTATTAGTCTTTCCCGTAAATTCGATACCTAAAACTCTGATACCATGTTAGATGATATTAATGTAATGCCCCGATTTCGGAATGTATAAAATAATATTATTATAGCAAATAAATATTTGACAATAGTAATGGAATCAAAAAACTAATATTTTGGGATAAATTATATTCCAATTTTGTATATTAGTTATAATTAAATAGACTGTTAAATGGATAAATATCGATAAAATTAAAAATAAATATAAATATAAAATATAATATATATAATAATATAATAATAATAATAAAGGTAATGATGATGAAGATAATATTTATAATAATATATATAATAATAATATAATATAATATAATATATATAATAATAATATAATTATATATATATAGAAAACCTTAACTGAGAAGCGAAGGAAGCGAGACGCGAAGGAGAAGAAGAAAGGAGAAGAAAAAAAAAAAAGGAAGAAAAAGATTTAGCCGTCCGATTCCAATTCCGATTTCGGTATTGTATTCTTTGTTATACGTAGAATTTAATTATGGATTTTAATATGAATTTCAATATTGGGAATATTAAATTAGAAATTCTTCAAAAATTCAAAATTGGCTATTTAGCTATTTAATCGATGAATTTCTTTAGCTAATAGCCTATTCGTAGCGCCGACGTTATATTTTGAGAATTTCGTACCAATCCAAGTCGAATAAAAAACGGCAGTATATTGCACCTGCCTGCTTGTTCATACCTTTGCGTATTTTTATTTAATAATCGGGCAATATAAATATTATGAGGTAGAATGATTTTATAGCTAGAATATCATATTCTACTAAATATAAAAGTTTGGAGCCCGACGAGTTAATTATAGAAATTAGCTTTTGAATAAGCAGGTAGCTCCTGAGAATAAGCATAAAGCTCATCTTATTTGAGTAAATAATGGGACAGGTGTACGTTGGAGGAGATTTGGGTGAAGTTATAAAATCCAGAAAGTATCGGTAGGAGGTAAGCAGTAGGGAATTAAATCTAATTTTAAGAAATTAGGTATTTATGTTGCATGTGATTCTGATTCTGATATTGATATGATATTATGTGGAATCATTTGGTCAGTGCATCTATATATGTATATATGTGTGTGTATATGCAGGTGTGAAACTTCGTTTTACGATATTTGATATACGTATTTGATCGTGTTGGTGAATTTATAAAAAGGAGGATAGGTGGGCCGTCTCACCAGCCCTTTTCATTAAATTCACTTATTGACATGCTGCACACATTGCACGATTTATCGGATATGTTTTATGGATCTATCGTTTAGTCGCCGTGTGCGGTAGTGCTAGGCGAGGGCATCATCTGGGGTTAGGATATTCGACCCCGATGTACCGTAACACTTTGGCGATAGTGGACGATAGTAGTCGGACAACTGGGTGACTTAGTCGCACGGTCATTCAGGGATTAGACCCATTGCAGTTGAGACGTATTTGGTCTAATCATTCGGGTTCGGTGTTGTTCCACTCATTGGAGTAGCTACTAGTGAGGTCTACCGGTAGTTTAGGATCAGATGCCAAACTCCAAACGCGATCCCGTTAGGGCGTGCGAGGAGGAGTAGAGTTTCCGGGTTTCCTTCGGGTGATTCCAGGTTGCACGGATTCTACTACGTTACACGGGGTAGGGCTAGGCAGGAGGGTCCTATCTTCGCTATCACAGACTATGGGGTGTCTTGTGGTTAATGGCGACAACGTTCGACTATCCATGTATTGATTGCGGGAGTCGTATGGTGGGTATATGGGAGTGACCGGGTGACCGTTATATTATTATGGGTTTACCAGGTCCTTCCTTGAGCCGAGGATTTTCCGGCTATTTATTGATGATAGTCTAGTGAGCTGTTATTATGGAGCCGAGGTTATTCCGGCTGCTCACTTTGACAGAGGTATATGGGTATATGTGCATGAGTTGTCGATTTTGACATTATTGTTACATTATTTCAGTATGGGCATGGCATGGCATTTATTTTGCAAATGACGGAAATTAAACTCTATTTTCGAGCATGACATGGCATATTTTATGTTAGTTCTTAAAATGGATTTAATTCTAGACTGCTTTTAAGAAAAATATTTGATTCAGGTACGCATGGCACCTCCGGGACAGGGGACGTCTCGGGAGATAGAAAGACGGGCTGAATGAGTGAACTGCATCTGATGTATTATATGTAAATTCTAACTAGAAAAACCTCCCGTTTTGGGAGTATGTTTTTGTAAATATTTATAAACTTGTTTTTTTGGGAATAATAAAATGCTTATATAATTAATTTTAGCCTTAACACTGTGTTGTGGGGCCCGAAGTAGGAGGTGACGACCTCATGATGCAGTGTGGCGGTAGCATTTCCAGTATGAGCCAACTGGGGGTGTTACAATTAACGACCGACTATCTAAAAGTTTAAACTGTTAAAAATATGCATAATTTATTTATTTATCTATAAATGCGAGTGAACCAACATTTTTATTTTCCGCTTGAACATCTCTTAGATACTCCTACCGAAGATTCCCCTCGTCTCTCCAAATTGCAATATATAGTTCTAATATACATGTTGATCAGTTGTACGAAGTGATATATGTTCGATGTGTAGGTGGTTTCGACCGAAGCGCGAGCAATGCACAACGTCGGTTTAGCTGGATTGACATTTTGGGCACCGAATGTGAACATATTTCGCGATCCTCGATGGGGGCGAGGACAAGAAACACCCGGCGAAGACCCGTTGCTCAATAGTAAATACGGCGCTGCGTATGTGCGAGGTTTGCAACAACGGGACGATGGTAAGAAAGATGGCCTCAAAGTTGGCGCGTGTTGCAAGCATTACACCGCGTACGATCTTGAAAGCTGGAAAGGATCAGGGCGATATACTTTCGATGCTCAGGTATGGCACTCCTTTAGCGTGAAGTTAAACCTCTTAGGTGATATGGTCATTTAACATTAATAATATATTAATAATATGTTGGTGCGCACCGTGTTTTTTTATTTACATCAATATTTTAGGTGACGAAACAAGACTTGGACGACACATTCAATCCTCCGTTCAAGAGTTGTGTTGTCGACGGAAATGTTGCGAGCATTATGTGCTCATACAACAAAGTCAATGGCAAGCCATCCTGCGGCGACGCCGAGCTATTAGGCGGTGTGATTCGAGGCCAATGGAAGCTAAATGGGTGAGCTATTGTAATGTGTCTCGGTTATGATATAAATTGAATGTTTGAAGCGAAAAAAATAAAAAAAAAACTACGATGAATCTTTTTCTTGTCGTCATTGTAGGTACATTGTTACAGATTGCGATTCGCTAAAGGAGATATTCGACAAACAAAAGTACACCAAGACACCGGAGGAAACCGTGGCATTGGCCCTCAATGCCGGGGTGGATCTCAATTGTGGAGCATTTCTCGCCAATTTCACTCAAAGCGCGATCGATAAGAAATTGGTGAATGAAGCAATGATCAATCGAGCAGTTTCGAATAACATGGCGACGTTGATGAGGTTGGGATTCTTCGACGGAGACCCTAAAAAGCAATACTACGGCAATCTTGGCCCGAAGGATGTGTGCACGCCGGCAAGCCAAGAATTTGCGCGCGAAGTAGCTCGACAGGGGATTGTCCTGCTCAAGAACGCCGAAGCTCTGCTGCCCCTGTCTCGAACGGGCACAAAGACCTTGGCACTCATCGGTCCGAATGCTAAAGCAAACAAGACGATGCTAGGCAACTACGAGGGCAGTCCTTGCAAGTACACGACCTTGTTTGATGGCCTATCGACTTTTGTTAAGAACATAGCGTACGAGCCTGGTTGTGAACTTGTGTCGTGCGCCAATGTGAAATTAGACCAAGTTAAGAATGTGGCAGCTAGGTCCGAGGCCGTGATCTTAGCCATGGGCACGGATCAATCTATCGAGAAGGAAGGCCTCGATAGAGAGGATATCACGCTTCCGGGGCAACAACAAGCTTTAATAACCGAGGTTGCGAATTCATCGAAAGGACCGGTGATTCTTGTCATAATGTCGGGAGGAGGGGTGGATATACAATTTGCGAAGGATAATCCGAAAATCAAAAGCATTCTTTGGGCCGGTTTTCCGGGGGAAGCCGGTGGAGGCGCGATCGCGGATGTCATCTTCGGACTTCACAATCCGAGTAAGTTCCCTAATCCTTAACACAAACAAAACAATCTAACATTCACCGGATTAAAAACATTACTTATAATTTTGTTGGTTGATTCTCATTCATAGATAAATAATTAAATGATATCGTATCCTAACAGCTTAAGCTTTAGGTGAGTCGGTCATTTACATCATTTTATGCATCCGACATGGTATTAGACCATATTCTTCTCCTGCAGTAAATATACCCAGAGGTCTCCCAAATTTAAGATTCTTTGGTTTTTGTTTTTATTAAGTCGGTCATTTACACCATCTCACAAATTTAATGCTATAGGTGGAAAACTACCGATGACTTGGTATCCTCAATCGTACGTACAAAAGGTCAAGATGACAGACATGGACATGAGACCTAATCCGGCGAGAGATTACCCCGGCCGGACATATAGGTTCTACAAAGGACCAACGGTGTTCCCATTCGGGTTCGGGTTGAGCTACTCAAAAGTCACACACAAAATGGTCAAGGCCCCCCCGAAGCTCGTATCCATGGCTTTGGGAAAAAAGCACGCGTGTCGTATGTCGACATGTATGTCCATTGATACCGAAGAAGCGAGTTGCAAGATCGAAGCCATCGACATTCATGTAAGTGTGAAGAATGAAGGGACGACGAGTGGAAGCCACACGGTGTTGCTTTTCTCGACCCCTCCGCGGCTACACAATGCGCCGCATAAACAGCTCGTCGGCTTCGAAAACTTTCATTTGGCGCCGCGGGGCGAACAGATGGTTCGATTCAAGGTAGATGTGTGCAAGCATTTGAGTGTGGTTAATGAAGAGGGTAATAGAAAACTTGCTTTGGGAGAGCATGTCCTCCATGTGGGAACCTTGAAGCATTCTTTAACTGTTGAAGTTTGAAGGTTGAAGGAGATGTGCCAATTTGTTGCAAGGGATCCTCAGTCCAAAAATTAAATAAATTTTTACTTAGTCCCCCAAATTGTATACATATTGTATGTAGGATTGAGTAAAACTTATCGAGTTTTGAATTGATAATACCAACACGGGCCTTGCCCATGGCACATTCTCGCCCTCAATAATATAAATATATACTATTATTATGAAAATTTTTATAGAATATATAAAATAAACTTTTGAATAAAACATTTCTTTTGTATTATTTTCAAATAAATTATTTTTTATATTAAATTTTTAATTATTTTACTAGTTATGTATTTATTTGTATATTTTAGTGTGTTTATTTACTTAATTTTATGATTTTATGTGTTTTTTTTACTTATATAAAATTATGAAAATATGATAGTGACTAATATTCTGTACTCCCGTCCTATATAATTTGTCCATATTTTCTATTTTCGTCCGTCCTATATAATTTGTTCTTTCTATTTTTGGAAATATAATTATACACTTTAATCCCATTTTAAATTTTAAATTTTATAATTTTTTTAATTTTAATTAAACTATTTACTTATTTTAATCTTAATCTATAATTATTTTTACTAATACACTTCTTAATTACTTATTAATTATACTTTACCTAAATTTTCGTGTCTACAGTAATACATCCATATGGGACGGAGGGAGTATTTTTTTTTAATTTTTATTTTAATGCTTATAAATTTTTATATTCTATTACTCTCTTCATTTCTATTAGAATATATTCTTTTAAAGTTTTATAATAAATTAAAAAATAATAATATTTTATTAGTTAGTAAAAATTTGTAAGAGGCTTTAATATTTTTACTTTTTTATTTTATGTAAAAAATAATTATATTTGTAATGATATATTTATAATTTAAATAAAAATTAAAAATATTTTAATATTAAGATATGACTATTTTTTACTAAAATAAAAAATAAATATTATCGAATGAAACAAATAAAAAAAAAAAAACTTTGGAATTGAGAAAAAAAAAATTGTAATATTTTTAAAACTTGTGCATTCCATAAAAACAGTAAATAAACACTTTTACCCAAGCCTCTAAAGAGTTAGAAGTAACTCGAAGGAGTCGTGTATCTTTTATTACAAGAAAATATGATCATTTTGACCACTCATTATTAATCTTGTTCGATTTCAAAACCATTTTATGTCTTACGAAGTACATAAAAAATAAGATCCTATGCCTACGCATGCTTCAGCTTCAAAGTACGCTTCAAACCTCCAACACGAAGAACATGCTCTCCCAACGCCACCTTCCGCCGGCCCTTCTCATCCACCAAACTCAAATCCTTACACACATTCACTCTAAATTTGGCCCCCCGTTCTGCCCCCGCCGCCACCCAAACCTTCCGGAACCCGATCAGCTGCTTCTCCGGCGACCCCCGCAGACCCCGCGGGGGGCTCCAGAACAACAGCAATGTCTCGCTTCCCGCCATCTTCCCTTTATTCCTCACCTTAATGTGAATGTCGACGGTGGCGTGCTTACAAGCCGCATCCGCAACATCGATGGCTGCGCACGCCGATTTACGACAGACGTGATTTTTGTCTAAAACCATATTTACGACAGCCGGAGGCGCCTTGGCAAAGCTGTGGGTGAATTTTGTGTAACTTAGCCCAAACCCGAACGGGAACACGGTCGGGCCCTTGTAGAACCGATAGGTCCGGCCGGGGAAACCCCGGGCCGGATCAGCCCTCATGTTCATATCAGTCATATTCACGTTTTGCGTGTATGATTGTGGGTACCATGTCATCGGTAGCTTTCCGCCTAAAAATGTCACCAGAATAGTTAGTTATTACATGATGTAAAAATATTAGTATTTGAATTGTAGGGTTTACTTGGGTTGTGGAGTCCGAAGATGATGTCGGCGGCAGCTCCGCCGCCGGCTTCTCCGGGGAATCCGACCCAGAGGATGCTCGTGATTTTTGGATCGTCCTTCGCAAACTGTACGTCCATACCTCCTCCGGACATTATTACAAGAATTACCGGCCCTTTCGACACCTTTGCAACTTCGGTTATCAAAAGTTGTTGTTGTCCCGGTAGAGTAATATTTTCTCTATCGAGGCTTTCCTTCTCGATCGACTGATCCGATCCCATTACCAAAACCACGGCATCGGCACCAGATGCTACCTTCTTAGCTTCCTCGACTTGGGCTGTCACACACGACACGTTTTCGCAACCGGCTTGGTACATTGTGTTCTTAATAACCGCTGATAAGCCATCCAACACGGTCGTGTTCTTGCACGGATTTCCTGCAATAGAATCATAATTCGGTGATATAAATTTATAATTCTACTAAAGCGCGTCTATCAAATCAGTACCTTCGTAGTTGCCTATCAAGGTCTTGTTTACATTAGAATTCGGGCCGATGACCGCCAAGGACTTGATCCGGGTCGACGATAAAGGAAGCGAGCCTTTCGTGTTCTTGAGCAAGACGATCCCTTGTCGCGCCGTTTCACGGGCGAGCTCTTGATTTGCCGGCGAGCACACATCGTTGGGGCCAAGGTTGCCGTAGAGTTGCTTCCTCGGATCACCATCGAAGAATCCCAACCTCATCAACATCGCAAAGTTATTCGCCAACGCCCTATCGATTATCGTCTCGTTTATGAGCTTCTTGTCGACGGCGCTTTTAGCGAACGTCTGGAGGAACTGTCCACAGTTGAGATCCAAGCCGGCGTTAAGCGTCAACGCGACCGTTTCCTCGGGAGTTTTGGTGTAGTTTTGCGAATAGAACATCTCCTTAAGAGAATCGCAATCCGTCACAATGTACCTACATCGAGCGACAAATGTAATTAATGATGCATTTCTCTATAAACTTGATACTTTTAAATTTAAACTTTTAGATAAAACAGTCATTTCTCACCCGTTCAGATTCCATTGACCTCGGATGACGCCCTCCAAGAGATCCGGATCAGCGCAAGTAGGCTTACCATTCACTTGATTGTATGAGCACATAACGCTCGCCACATTTCCATCGACGACACAACTCTTGAACGGAGGATTGAATGTATCTTCTAAGTCTTGCGGCGTCACCTAAACTCGATCAAATCAAATAACATAACGATCAATCAAATCGATCTAGCTAACTATTTTAAAATGTAAATTAAATTAAATTCATTTTAGATCGAGCTAGGAGCCGTACGTACGCACGTACCTTGGCATTAAAAGTATATCGTTGTATCCCTTTCCAATTATCGACATCGTACGCGGTGTAATGCTTGCAACACGCCGCGACTTTGAGACGATCTTTCTTGTCATCGTCCCGTTGTTGTAGACCCCTTACATAGCCGGCCCCGTATTTGCTAGAGAGCAACGGGTCTTCCCCGGGGGTCTCCTGACCGCGACCCCATCGAGGGTCGCGGAATATGTTCACATTCGGGGACCAAAATGTTAATCCCGCTAACCCGATGTTGTGCATCGCTCGTGCTTCCGTAGAAACAACCTATATATATAGTATAGGCTCGAAAATAATAGTTAAAATTTAACGATACTATCTCCGTCTTATAAAAATATGCTCACTTTCTTTGTACTATCGATAAATATTTTAATTATTTTTCTTCAAAAATTCAAAATAACTTATTAATGTATATATATATATATGTACGTACCCAGTGTTAGAACTAACCTCCAATTTCCGGAGGGCAAAATAAGGTTCATTTTTATCAATTCAATATTTCTTTCCTTTAGTACACGGGTAAAGAAAAAGAGAAAAAAAAACTAATAAAAATAATATGCTTGAAACTGAAATTTTTTAAAAATAATTATATAAATTTTATTATTTTTTATTAGAAAATACTGAATATTGAAAGGTAAATCAATAAAATTATCCAATTTTATTTTATATACAAAATAAAAATAAAAATTAAGAAATAGGAGGGATAAATTATTAAAAAATTATAATTTCATTATTTTTTAAACTAAAAAATATATATTTTCAGGCCGGGGCGGATCACCCCCCAAGTCCCCACATGGATCCGTCGATGTACATACCTTGCCAATGGCCTCGAACAAAGTCTCGTTGAAGGTGGCGCCGGTGAGGATAACTTGAGGAAAGCTCGTGGCGCCGGGAACTAAGCTCGAAAATTTGGTGCCCGGCCCGACGTACGACACTCCATGCAAAGCTTCCGACCACCATAGGTAGTCGGGAATCCCGAGCCGGCCGAGCCCGGTCGAGTTGTCCCCCAACCAGCTAATTTTCTCGGACAACGTCAGCCGGCTTACTAAATCGGTAACTCTTGCCTTAACGTCTAATGAAGTGTTGCAAAAGCCGAAATCCTTGAGAGCCGGATTCCCGGCGACGTCGCAAGCGAAGACCGGCATGCTCTGACCGGAAACCGACCGAGGATCGAGTAAAAGGTTGCAAGAAAGTACGAACAAGACAAGGAAATAATAAGGCATTGCGTAAGCCATTGTAAATGAAAGAAAACTAATGAGAGAAAGAATGAGATGGGGAATGTGAGAATTGGGGATATGTATTTATAGGGTTTTTTCGAAGATGGAGGATCTTTTTTATTATGTTCATTTGGATAGAGGCAATGTTTAGGAAAGAATATAATTATGATAGTAAAAATTTTAAAAATAAAAATTTATCCATGTATTTAATGTACTCACTTAATTTTATAAAATATTGGCATGGAACTGAATTAATGCTTTTTTTTTTTTTTTTGCATGATAATTGATCACCATATATTTATTTAGTAATTGTAAAGATCCATTTTTGTAGATTAGGAAAATAAAAATTTAAAATGGGCAAGTGTAAATATTAGAAAATAAATGTACCGACCATATTAGGGTTAATACTGTAAGATTCTAAAACTAGAATTTGATCATATAATGGATAAAATTATATGATTACTTATTGTAATGGAATTAGATACGTTGAATGGGCAAAATTATATAGCCTAATAGCTAAAGTGTATTTGGATAAAATTATATAACAGTGAATAGTGTGCTGACAAATTAATAGTTCATCCGAAAGTATACATATTTTTATTTTAGGTTAGGTCAATTATAAAATAATTATTTCATTAAATATTTCAATTTTTTTCATCGATATTCTTATTTTGCATCACATAATTACTTTTTTCACAAAAAAAAATAAGGACAAAATATCGTTAGAGTATTTTTAACTACCCCTACAACTAAAATACATTTTTTTTAAACTCTGGTTCCAAAAGTAAATATTTACTTTGAAATCGGACGGAGATAGTATATAATATATATATATATATATATTAATACGTCAAATTTACTTTCATTTCCCGCTAAATTTACTTTATTATTAACTTTGGCAAAAGTTAAGAAATCAACAATTTAACGACTATCTTTATTAAATACTTATTTACCATAAATGTAACTATTTTTATTACATTATCTGTCTTTATTTTTTTAAATTTTTAGTTAAATTTTTAAAAATACTATTAACTATTTTTTTTATCACATTTTCAATAAAATACTAGTATTTTATTTAATCTCTGTACCGGACCTAAATGTTCTAAATTTACCTGACAAAAAGTGCGCATTCCTCTGTTTTGAGCGAAAGTATTCATTTGAATTTTTAAGTTGATTAATAAATAATATTATTTTAATAATTAGTGGTAATGTAATGTTTGATATTTTTTTTAATCGCGAGTAATTTTGATATTTTTGTACTTTATACTTTATGTATATGTGTAATAATACGTTTATAATTTATGTAAAAATTAAATTTATTTTAGTATTAATGTGTGATTAAATTTACTTTTATAAAAAATAGATACTTTTGAGTTAAATAGAAAAAAAAAAATTATATAAAAATAATTCCTTTCAATTGGGACAAAAGGAGTACACTTACTCCCTCCGTGTGGGCTAATTATGTCATAATTCTCGGAGACTAAAAATAAATAAATTAATGATATAACTTAAACTTTTAGGTGAGACGATCATTTAAATTATCAATATCGTATTAGAGTCATACATTGTATTCGAGTTCGTCCAATATTGTATTTTTTATAATATTAAAAAATTATTGAATAAACATATCCTATATATTGTTAGTTATATTATTTTTTTATCCAACAATTTAAATATATAGAGATGTAATGTGATGATCTTTTGTAAAAATAACTAATAATATATAGTAAATAAAAAATAAAACATGAATAAGACATTCGAAATAAATTATAAATATATTTATGGATTATTTAGTTATTAACTTAGCAAATTATTTGTATTATAAATATAATCTGCATTAATGACAAATGACATTTATTTTTAATAATACAATATCACAACAGCCTTGAATAGCATATGAGGAACTACAAGAAAATGCACAATATTGCTATAAAAAAATATTATTTATATTAATCTAGTACATGTATATGACATACTCATATAAAACATACTATTTTTGTCCGACTTTAAGGGTCTCGTTTATTTTTTGCGTGTTGATCTTTGAATATAAATTATTATATGAAAATATAGTACAAAGAAAATGACAAAAATACTTTTATTCGTATCTTGTAATACTATTATAATGATATTTGTGCAAAAAATTATTCAAATATAAAGATATTTTTAATGTTAAACACAATTATAAATAAGATCTTTAGAGCCGGGCGAAGGGAATAACATATTTCTAAAAAAGATATTATTGAGTTTGTTCACTAAGAAGTTGTTTGACAAAGAGCTTTTTGAAGAACTTTTAGTTTATCGTCAAACAGCTAATTTAGGTGTTTGATAAATTAGCTTTTTGGAATAGTTTTTTGGACCAAAAAAACTAATTTCTAAAAAACTAACTTATCCAGCGTTTTGAAATAGGTTTTTCAATTTAAATTTTTTTATTCTTTATTTGCCCTTCAAAATTTATTATGCATTTTATACAAATAAATATATTTTGATTATTTATTAATTATATTAGAATATTTTATTATATTATAGTTATACTTATATAAATTTAAAATAATTAATTTTATATAAAAATTATTTTAATAGTAAAATATATAAATTTATTAAAATCAACAAAAAATAAAAAATATAAATCTTAATAATTTATTTTTATATTAAAATTACAGTATATAAAATTTATACTAAAAATAAATTAAATAAATTAAATTTATTGAAAATTATAGATATAATAAACTGATCGATAGTTAACCTAATAAATATATACACAAAAAATGTATTATCTTATATTTTACATCATTTTCAATAAAAAAATTTATTTATATTTTTCAATAAAAATATATTATTTTTTAAAATTTAACTATAATAAAAATAAATATTATTTTATAACACTTTTACAATTTTCAATAACTAATAATAAAAAATTTCACACATTCTAAACTAAAAAGAATACAATTGAATATATTAGAAAAAAAAAATAGAAATATTCTCAATTGTCATTTTACGTATAAACAATTAATATCAAATAATTGTTTTACCAAACTTTTTAATACAAACAGTTAATCGAATCAGATAGTCAAAACAACTTATTGAATCAGCTAATTGTCAAACACGCCGGTAATATTTTTGGGTGACACATTCTCATAAATAAAATTAAAAAATACAATGACTTTGTTCTCTTAATACACATTTTTTAATTTTAATTCTCCAAAAATAATAATAAATAATAAAAAATATTTTTTACAAAAGACAAAAGAAACATTCATATACTTATTGCAAAGAGTCAAAATATCATATATTTAACTTAAAATAATAAATATATTTTATACTTTTGATACAATTTTTCGTACTTACACATAAAAAATCAATTAATCTAAAAACTATGTAAACAGAGCCATTATATATATATATATACATACTTTATCTGGTCATAAAAAATCAATAATTCAGCGGACAAAAATTAATTTTTATATTATCCGTTTAATTTTTTATATTCAATATAAAAATATACTCATCCAATAAATACAAACCGAACATATGTTTTAAGTATAAGGAAATAACAGATGCTCTTATTTCACAAACCATATACTATTTGTATTTTTAATCGGTGTTATTTAAAGAAATCAGAAAATCAATACTGTAACTGAAATGATTGTGCTTATACTGTGTTGATATTTTATGCAATTTTGGATAATTTTTAATAGTTAATGGAAAGAATATTAATGGGCAGTGTCATTATAATGATTTCAAAATCATTATTGTTTAAGTTAGTTATAAGCGTAAGATCACACATTTATATACATGATTGCGCTTATAGTGCAATCTGTTGATTTTTTATGCAGTTTTGGACAAATTTTTATAGTTAATGGAAAGATTATTAATGGGGAGTGTTATTATAATGATTTCAAAATTATTACTCCCTCCGTTCCGCATATCATGTCCGCGCTGTAGTTTCTGTCCGTCTTACATTTCATGTCACTTTCATTTTTTAGATTATACACTTTAATTTCATTTTAAAATTTTTAATTTATTTTTTTAATTTTAATTAAACTAATTAGTTATCTTAATCTTAATTTATAATTATTTATATTATAAAATAATTATTTTCACTAATACATTTTTAATTATCTACTAATTACACCCCTCCTAATATATCGTGTCTACAGTGTAGCAGAAACGATATGTGGGAATCGATATGTGGGACAAACGGAGTATTATTTTTTTAATTTTTAAGTTATTGATGGTTTAAGATCACATATAATATCATCACATATTAATATATATATATATAAATATATATTTTTTAAAGGTTTATTATCCATATATATTTTTAGTTATTAATTTACGTCCGTTCATTCAATGTGTTTATACGTGTTTAAATTAAATATAAGTATTATAAAATGATTGCTTAATTAAAAATAAAATAAAATAAATTTAATTACATAAAAAGTATTATTATTTATCATCATATTATCTAAAAAAATAACAAGTATGGGATGTTATATATATATATATATTAAATAAATTGTGATGAATCAACTAATAAATTCAATTGACATACTTATTAAATTATGGAATAATAATAATTGAAACAAAAAGTAGATAATAATATAAATTTAAATTAAATATAATTATATAAAGATAGATTGCTTGATAAAAAAATAAATAGAAATATAAAATATAAAAATATTTTAACACAATTTTATTATGTTCATTGTATGAAAAGTGAAAAGTTTTATTAAAATATGTGGGTAAAATTATTTTTTTAGTCCCGTATCTAACCACCTTTATCATTTTAAGATTTAAAGTGAACCATGTCTGAAAATAATTCCGTAAGTAAAATTTTTTTACTAAAATGGTCCTCCGGTGCTGGACTCGCTTCGCTGGTAGCCGATGCTGACGTGGCGCTGATGCGACTGACATGTCATCGCCACGTAGATGCCACGTCAAAGGACCATTTTAGT